ACTGCTTTTCTGCTGACGGTCGGCCGTCGGGTTGGTGTGCAGAGGCCTTAAAAGGGAAGAGGAATCCAAAGAGTAAGAGAGTACTGTGAGTGGGCAAATGTGTGAAACTACACACATTTCATTGGAACAACCATCTTTTCTGCAATACAAACACAACATTGTTTTTTCACATCCTCTGTCAAAGTTACTTTCACTAATAATCATTACTTTAGCCTTTTTTTATATTTTTATATGCAGTTTATAAATGAATGTTCTGTATGTGATGAATAGCACATTCTTTGCATATAAATGTTTTTTCTCTGGTGTGTTTGCAAAAACTTACTTATTTAAACATCTGCATTTAGCTGCTACTACCACTATGAGCGACTTTTCACATTACACAGTGCTTCGATCCATTTTAATAAAATCATTGATGAATGCCAGAAATGTTTCATAGCCGTGGTCAGATCAATATACATATGAATTTTAGTTGCTCGATATTAAAAGTAAACACACAGTTTTTGTAATTTAGTGTGCGACATCCTATGAATATATCATCATAAGCCTTTTACCTAAAAATCCAAATATACCACCGCAACTGGAATGACATGACTGTGACAGTATTAGTTGCAGACTTTATGTGGTGATTAATTCAGATTTGTAACTGCCTAGTTCTGCGACGTACACTTGACTGTTGCTGGCTGTGCAAGGGGAGTTTCGTTTAGTAGTTATAGCCTTAGGGTTGAGTTTTTGATTATAGGCCTACTGGTTCAAGATAATTAGTAATTGAAGAAATCTACGCGTAGATCTTATCCAGAAGAACAAAAAATCCAGTGGGCGCCATATCCCAAACCACACAGGAATTCGGCCATTTTGGATTTAGCGGCCATTTCTGGCGATTTGCACACGTTGTATTTGAACAAACTCCTTCTAGGGAATTTATCGGATCGACTTCAAATTTAATCAGCGCAATCTAAAGACATTCACGATTGAAAGTTGTGTGAATATTATTACATGTGTTCAGGGCGGGACTCTTATCAGTCAAGTGAAGTTTGGAGCCGAATGGACAATGTACACTCAAGTTATAGCAAGTTTGTGTGCTCTGGCGGTACATCAATATTTGACGCCACGTCATTAACAATATATTTTGCATTTTCTCAAAATGTCAGCATGATCTGATCAACCTGCTAGGAGTATAACATGAAAGTATAAAACGTGATACTTCCTGTTCCCACTAGGTGGCGCTCTCACTATTACTGAATATTATCACATAGACGCGAGACTCTTATCAAACATGGAAAGTTTCGTTGAGATCGGATCATGTACGCAGAAATTATGACAACTTCCTTTTTTATGGTGAGTCGTTGAAATTCGACGCCACGCCACGGGCACGCCGTTCAACAGAATGTCGTAAATAGCACAACTTTTAATCGAGAATGTCTTTAGATTGTTCTGATTAAATTTGAAGTCGATCCGATAAATTCCCTACGAGGAGTTTGTTCAAATATGTGTGCAAATCGCCAGAAATGACCACTAAATCCAAAATGTCCGACTTCCTGTTGGGTGTGGGATATGGCCCCTTCGCATGGCCAGTGCTCGGGCCCTAATAAAAACGGGCTCTACAAATGTTTTATGAAGTATGGGACACATTAAATAAATCTGCCAGGCCTCAAGAATGCACACAATGTGCACTCCTACAACAGTGAGTAAGACTGTCAGTAAACACAACTTTTGTTTGTCTCCAGTTGAGACTCCTTTACATCACCTTTAAGTCAACCTGAGATGAACTCTAACAACAATATTTTCCAAATAAAAGTATTGCAGAACATTTTGAGACATTTTGCAACTGTTGACAGGCTGAGCAGTACTCCTTGTGACTAGGAAACTGAACTTCATGTGATAGATTTAGGGGAATGCCCGATATGATTCACATATTTGAAGCCTGTCGTAAAACATTCATTTATATACAGAAGGAGAGGCAGTTCCCTTGACTTACAGTCACGGGTTACAACCAAGTTATTCTTTCCTCTCTCGCAACAGTGCTCCCATGGGAAAGCTGTTTCCATGCACTTGGTTGTGATCAATTGGGAGTTTTTTTTCTTTTGGTCTGCTATTGTGGCTGCATATTGTTGAGTCGCTATAATATGCTTTAATGCAGCTTGAATCCCTGAAATAATGTCTGAAACACAGAGCACAACTATTTTAGCACTGTTTGACTAACCAAACCAAAACTGCATGTTGGGAGGGTATGTGTTGAGTGCACATACCACAGAAATACTTGAGGCAAGTGTAATGTTGTCTATCTTTAATTAAAACACGGAGAAAAGGGAAACGTTTTCAGAAAAAATAAAATTAAAAAACAAAGAACGCAAAAGTTCATCATAAAGCACAAAAAATAAATGTGTACAAAGTATCTTATCTAAAGCAAAAGAAACAGTAACATAAATGGTAGTAAACAGTAAAATGTTTCATTTATCAGGGCACACTACAAAACACACAACAAAACACAATTTCAAGAAAATAAGCTGCCTCTCTGAAACTTTGTTTTTATTTTTGCATCACACTAATGCTCCCCAAGAAAAAAAAACCCAGCTGTTGACCTCAATGTTGCACCGACTGATTAAACAAATTCAGAAATAGAAATAGCACACATCGCATTTGTAAGAAAATGTACCATTTATGTGCTATAAAATTTTCCAACAATATGGGAAATTGGCCACTTTAATGTGTGGTGAGTGTGTGAAGGAGGGGTTAGGCACAGGCGAATTATTGCTCCACACTGGAAAAAACTATTTTATCTGAAGTTTATTTTGTTTATTAAAGGCCTTAAAAGGAGTTTTTAAGCACTACAGTACAGTGTTCTGAGTTTTCTAAGGGAAACTGGGAAAACATATTTTGGTTACTATGTGTTTTAGTTTAATGTGCAGCTATGAGTCTAACTGAAACAAATTAAACAGAAGAGTTTGTGTTTACTGTCATCTGCCCCATGGATCAACACAAATTGTGGTGGAGAGTATTCATGATGTACTAACTTTAGTGGTCCTCTAAAGTTTCCTCTATTAGCAGCTTGATACTGGTTCATAGTGAAATGTCTTGACAACATTTGCAGCATTTGTAACACAGAACTTCATTTTGACCTTCAATGAACTTGAACATGGCTGACTTTGAGTTCAGTAAGTTTAACCAAAACTAAGAGGTCAAAATACAACAGCTGCGTAACACTAATGTTGGAAAGATTAAAGCCTGCCCAACACATAACATTCTGGATGTTTTTATGACAAAAATGAATAAATACCAAAATAAAGAACCACATGTGATAGGTTTGTGGCACACACACTGCTGTAGAAGGAATATAAAAATAGAGAATATTTTTTTCTCTTTCTTATAAAAGGACCCATTAGACAGTAGTTGGAGAATATTTCAGCAGCACAAAGCAAATGTTGTGTGTGTTCATTGGGATCATACCTTGAGAGCATGTCAATAGGCTACTAGTCTACAAAAATAGATAATAGATAATAAAATGTGATGTTTAGTGATAAAACAAGATTTAAAAAAAAGATAAAGTCTAACTAGCGAGTAAAGAAGTTTCTTGTGTGCATGTAAATATACTTCATAATCCTCTGCTATTATCAGCAGTTAATGCTGTTGGGCAAACATACATATGCCTCTCAGTGACTTTGACAGTTAAAGCAGACGGTTAAAGCCACATCCTACAGACATATGCCACTGACGGAAAGGCTGTTAACCTAACTGAAAGCTCTACTTGCAGTTTGCAGTCTTCATTCCTGTTGTGTTGCACTTTGTTTATAGACCTTGATGGATTTGTTGAAAACTAAACCAAAAATTATTGATCCTAGGAGTAGACATTACCAAAGTAATGACATTTGATTGAACGGTTGGTGACTGCTTCATCTGTTCACTAACCAGCTGAGTGAGGAAGGTTGTTTGATGTGGAGCCTGTAAATCAGTCACTGCTCCATCCTGTTGTTTCCAAGAGATTCCTAAGGCAGACAATTCAAAACATTATATTAATTTCAAATGAGTGTCAGGATGTCTGCAGATTTCCGAAAGAACATTTACACTAAACAAGAAAAGAGACAGTAATACTGTAAACAAACACTGTAAAAAAAAGACATGATAAATTTAACTGTTCAGTCTTTTCCAGAAATGCCGGTATGACGTTTGTGTATCAGATAGTTGTTATACTTACTATATTACTATTACTATATTAAAAAGGTTTAGCGGCACACAGATTTAACTTTGAGGGAGATAAAAAAAAGCCAGAATTCACTGTAACAATTTAAATATTTTATGTATGTTACTCTACTTCTGCATGTAGACTCACTGCTTCAGCTACGCCTTCCTGACCCCTATCAGCTTCCAACGGCGTCCTTCTGCTTGTACATTTTCCCATACTGGAAAAAACAATTAATATACAACAAATGATTTACATAGTATATAAAATGCTTATATACATAGCAGTATGTAAGTGTCTGCAGTACTACTGTGTTTGG